CATTATAATGCTGTTTTGTCTCCCATTTTACCTTTAATAAAAAATTGCAACTTCTGATATTTTACCATTTCGTGATTTTGATTAATAATGCAGCCTTACTTTAAAATCCAAATGAGTTTTTGATCGTTGATAATCTAAAACCTTGTTTTTATTATGTGACCCTGAATCAACACAAAGGAATTTCTTTAAGTAAGTAATATATCTTAATGCCATCAACTCATTTTCTCATCACATTTTCTTTGTATTATTTCACAGACAAAAGCATCCCAGAAATACTAAGTTGAATATATATTCTGAGTGAAAGCCTGTATTGCAGGGTCTCTTTTAATGAAACAACTGTTGTCCCTTCTTTATATTTTCAGCCGTTGGCCACCAGATGGCGTCCACAGAGTGTAAACAGGACCACACAGATGCTGCTTTATAGCATGTTTGACATCCATCTGTCTGAGCAGATTCCTGTATCCTCCTCTTCATGGTTCCAGTAAAGCCTTACTCCTCAGCACCAAGATCTGGGATGGTGTAAAGACTTTAAAATAATAAAATATGGAACATAGTGGAGTCCGATAAATCCAACATGCCGATATATTGGTTTATATTATCACAGATATAGCCTATCTCTACAATGTGTCGGCTGATTATAACAAGACGTTGCAGTACTGTACAAAAATACAAAAGATGTGTTTGAGGTATTATAGAAAGATTAAAAATAATGTACGCTATTGTATTTGTTCATACATATGTCCTTTAAAAAAATGCATATGACCAAATATTAAAACTGTCAACTATCAATATTGTATCAGCCTGAAAATAAAGTCCAACATATCTGAGCTTTTTAGAAAGTAAGTCTTGATTTGTAGCACCTCTAAAATGTTAATTAAAAAATAATATATATCTATTTTTTTATCTATCTATCTATCTATCTATCTATCTATCTATCTATCTATCTATCTATCTATCTATCTATATCTATCTATCTATCAAATCTACAACAATCAAGAATCTTTGACAAATCCCTTCTTAATGACCCCTTTTAACCTGCTCTTTACTTCCTGAACACTATGAATTATTAGTTTATTATGAAAAAAAAGAAAGAAAAATAAACCTTTCATGAGCGTCTCTGGTAACTTTGAAGCATTCAACGTGGGGAGACAGACAGACAGACAGAGGGGGGGAGAGAGAGTGAAGAGCGACGAGGGGGAGAGAGGTAACCGGCACCTGCACGTGGAGGAAGTCTCTCCTCTCTCTCTCTCTCTCTCCTCTCTGTCTCTGTCTCTGTCTCTCTCTCTCTCTCCTTCCCGTTCACCCCTAATAGGATAATTGATAGATAGCCTAAATAGTCAATAACAGTGGACTCAGAGAGGTCGTCGGAAGCTCTGAGGAGAAACTTTGCAGCTTTCTGCTCCGAGCAGCAAGTTGCAGCAGGACTGTGAGCGCCGGAGATGCTCTGAGGAGAACTGGGAGTTGATAACCAAAAATACTTTTCTACCGCCTGGAAGCTCGCATTTTTTGTACAGGTAGGAGCTTTTTGAACTTAAATAACTGTCTTTAGACTGTTATTTTACAATATTTATTTTCCCTCAATTAACTTTTGGTCAAAAATATATTTCACAATGTTTCCTCAGAGGATTGCAATGGTGGATCGACCGGTATTAAGATTAGGTGGGTAAAACTTGATGACATTAATCAACTTTACTGAGTAAGATTTAGAATTAATTCACTTGGGGTATTTGTTTTTTAGCACTGTTATTTGGCACATGGTCATCAAACGAACTTAATAGCCTATTTGGTCAATTTAAACGGTCAAAAACAATTAAAAACAATTGACTTTTCAGTAGGATATCCACTTTTTAATAAACAAACTGCGTATTTAACTACTTTTGCCTCACATAATAACGAGGTAAAGTTGCATTTTGATGGCCCCCCCTCCATCAAACCTTGTTCAGCCAAATTAGCTCAATATTTCAGCTGCGTCCTGCTGATTGGAAAAGTGTCCTAATTAAAGGATTTCCCCATCATTGCAGATATGGATCAGAGGGCAGTGTGTGCCGGATGCCACCAGCTGATCAGAGACAGATTCCTGCTCAGAGTCACTGACGGCCTCTGGCATGAGCAGTGTGTGCGGTGCGCAGCGTGCGGGGACGCGCTCACCAACTCCTGCTTTCTGCGGGACCGCAAACTTTACTGCAAGCGGGACTATGCTGAGTGAGTGCTGATAACTCTTCCTTATTGTTTGTTTTCTCCTGATGTTACAGTTGATCATAAAAAGCTTAAGCATACATATAACCTACCTTCTATCACTTTTAAACCCTGGCTTCTGCTTCAGATTTTCCAGGATTATGACATCTCAGTTTACAATACCACTATTTCTCAGAGAAATAATGCATAATGCACGTAGAAATACAATTGAATTTAAGTTTAAAAAATTAGCTACCAATTACTACCAATATCATGCCAGTTTTTCTCCATGATGTAAAGTCATTTGAATTCAAGGATTTTAAGCTATATATATATATATATATATATATTCATTATATATTCATTTTCATTGTGATGATAATTTCTGCAAAAAAGTATGTAATATACTAAAATATCACATTTTAGCTGCACCCCATTCTTGTTTAAATACAAGATAGTTAGTATTTTAATTTTTTCTAGTCCCGTTCCTGCACTTTTAGCTTTGGCACATGCATATACATTGCAAATATACTTCCAACATCATAGTTCATAGCAAAAAAAACCATCTAAATGTGTTTTACAAATTTAGGCAAACTTTTAATTTGATTACAGGCTGTTCATTTTATTTTGGCTTATCTCATTCATTTAATTCTATTTTTTGGCCTGGGGTCCAAAAATTATTGTGTGTTATTAGCCAGTTTTTACAACAGAACCCTTGTCCAGATCTGACCTTGACTAAGAATGTGTGTGTGTGTGTGTGTGTCCATATGAGAGCGAGAAGACCAGAGAGAAAGTGAGACCGTGGGGAAACATGTGATTTCTCTTTATTGTAACTTCAACATATCTATTCTAACTTAGTACATACTGTATATTTAGGTACATATTATAGTTTATTGCAAAAGCATTGTGTGTGTGTGTGTTTGTATAATGTGTCACACTATCTAGTTTGTGGTATGTGCATATTATGGATGTAAGTTGACTTCCAGGGAACTTGGCACAGTGCACTAAAAGAAGAAGGTGACTGTAGGTGGAAGGGGTGCCGAGGGAGGAGCTGGAATGTGGAAACACTATTGGCATAGTGTATGATCCACACACACACACACACAAAACAACACGATCACACCTTCACACACACGTACAGCACAACAACCAGGGTAAGAGCTCAACTGACACATTGTCAAAATGTGTTAAAATTTCGAGGCCCATTGGCGTGGCAACTGCAAGCTGGGACAACATATGTCTCGCCCCCGCTTCCCCCAAAAAAAACCAAACAAAACCCTCCCACCATCATCACCCATCGCCCGATCCACTGCCACTGTCTCATCCCCTCCTTCTTGTTTGGAGGACCAAAACATGCTCTCACCTAAACCAGAGCCAAGACGAAAAGTGAACACCCTGACAGGCAGCAGCTCACATTATTTCTGAACAATTTAGTGACGGCCTTTCTGCCAAGCAGGCAGGAATACAAGAAATGTTGCACTCATTGGTCCAAAATGCTCTCCGCTATCATCTTCCCAGCTAAATTACACTGTAGTGGTACTGGAGGCCTGTTTACATTTGCGGGCAGAGTGTTTGTTTGCGGAGCATTTAAAACATGCCATTTTTATGAAAATGGATAGATGGAAATCAGAGTGGATTCTTGTAAATTGCTTCGTGTGATTAGTGGAGATCATTTGGCTGAAGCACAGAGAAAAGAGCAGGACTGAGAGGTAATTAGGAGAGTAGAGCCATATGTCAGAAGGTCTGGTGCATCCCTACAAGAGAGACGGTGAGGCTGGTGTGAACTTATTTCGGGGGACAGTGCGCTCCACGAGCCCTGGCGTTATGTGCCGTGGCATCTGGAAAGCTCTGCTCACAGCAGCCCCTGTGTCGAGCGATGGGATAACGCCCAGCCGACCGTGAGATATCTGACCTGACCAATTAGCAGGAGGCCTGGTGCCAGAGCTCTGGCTCCGAGGTCTCACGTCTCCACCTCCCCATTCGTCCTGTCTTTGGTGTGGCACCCTATAACACATGAGCACCACTTTTGTCCATGATGAGGGGCTTTAAAATGTGTTTCTCTCGCGGTGCAAACTGTGTTCTACTCCCTACCCTTCCTTTTATCCAGGACTAGCGTGAAGCCAGCTCGTAAGTGACAATTATTCCATACTGTGACAACATTTGTCTCTTACCACATGCTGTATCTTCTGTCTGAATTTTGCCTTGTTTGTCCCTTTGCTCACGTGACACATCAGTGCCAGCCAGACCACCAGATTTAGCCTGTTTATGGAGGCTGAAAGACAATAAGGCCAGAATTTGAATTCCCTGAACAAAGCAGTTTATATTCCTCTTCGCTCCAGAATCACCAGTGCCTGCTTTTATTACTGCGTCCAAAAGCCAGTGTATAACTAGTATCAGAATGGTGAATTATTTTATATATTAAGA